AGAGCTGTGCAGGCTCCATGCTTCCATCAGAGGTGGCAGAGAGTGAGGAGGGCCACATGGATTCATGGGATATTTTAAAAACATGCAAAAATTATGGATATAAATGGTATTATGGGTTTAAGACAGTTGAATGCTGGGAAGTTGACACCTTGCTCCCAGTCACCCCTGCAGGATTCATTTCTGCCCACCCTGCATTACCAAAACTTCCCAAAAGACAGTGTGCTGGACAGTGACAGTTTGCATACTGGGATACCAATCCATGGAGCACTGTACTGTGCATCTTCTGGTGAGTACATGCAGCACCAATGCAAGTAGCCAAGTATGCATGTTCACAAATGATATACTAACTACAGCAGCTTTATGCTGACATAATCTGCATCAACTGAAACTTGCAGTGTAGACATGGCCTTATTCCGCACAGACCTCTTGGACACTATCAGAGAGATAGCTGTGTCTTCAAAATGTCCTTCACTCATTGTTCAGTGGAGCCACTCTGCAAGAGACTGTGCACAGGATGAGAGCCAGAACAGCTGTGTAGACACTGCTCCTCCATGAAGATGGTTTCTTCTTAGAGTTTGGAGGCAGGATATACAGTCTGTTCCTCAAAAAGGGGCAAACCCTGGCTCCCCCAAAAGTATGATTGGCAAGGGGGGAGGGATAGCTCAGTGGTTTGAGCATTGGCCTACTAAACCCAGGTTTATGAGCTCAATCCTTGAGGGGGCCACTTAGGGATCTGTGGCAAAATCAGTACTTAGTCCTGCTAGTGAAGGCAAGGGGCTGGACTCAATGACCTTTCAGGGGGTCCATTCCAGTTCTATGAGATATACGTCTTCATATATTATTATAAGATCTAAGTCCTTATGCATACTCAATTCCAACTTTCCTAACCATGCATCAGTTTTCTACAGCATTCGTCACTATAGCTAAGATTTCCAGGGTAAATTACATCTGTATGGTGAGGTCTCTAAATGACTTCATTGGGTCACCTGCTCTTCTCCTCCCTGGTAAAAAAGGCTCTACTCGGGGTACATACATATCAATATAGGTACAAATCAACATCATGGCAGTTATGTCAAAATACCTTATGGAAGGGGGCTCTGGTACTGTACTCAGAAGGTGATCAGACTCTGCATTAGTCTGATTTCCCCCAGAAGCTTCTTTTATAACCAACCCCCCACAGAGAATGTTCTTACATCTCTAGTTGTCACATACTTCATCCTGGTTCTGTAAGATATGCTGTCTCAGGAGCGCAGCTGCCTATGCATGTGACAAATAAAGATATAGATAGGTTGAGATCCATTCAGGCTCAGTGAATAAATGGCAACTGGACATTGGTCCGGTTCTCTAAAGCCAATGGTCAGGAACTAATCGACAATATCCTGTTTTATGGAGGGGGTGGGGTGTGATGTGTAAAAGCTGGAGTCTCTACCTTGCATCCACCTTCAGCTCTAGTTATAGTGAATTGCAACGATCCTGTGTGGAGAATGCATAGTTCACTGAGGCTAGATCCTCCTCTGGGAGAAAATGATGAAACTGCCTAGTGAGTTATAATGGAAGAAGGCTTTATTCACCAGTGTTGCTGCCTCATTATCTAGGCTTAACGAAAAGCTGAAAAGACTGCAAGGCTTCGCATTACTTTGCTGAACAAGGCTCAGATGCCTTTAGTGGAAGGGGATTCAACCATAGCTGTCTGGAGCGGAGCTCTGGTAAATATTTTTAACCCCCTAGCGGGGACCACAAGCTGGTTTCAGGGGATCTGCAGGGTCCCACGGGGTTGAAACTCCAAGCCCCGTCACATCCCTCCTCAGGGAGTGAAAGGCCTGAGACCCCCCCCTCCCCAGCTGAAGCCTTGAATTGTTATGTGTGTATTTGGGGGAGGGAGGGAAAGGGGGACTCCGGGATATAATGTATGAGAATTTAAGCCCTGGAGAGAAGGGTTCTAGTGCTCAATCTGAGGCCACAATTCAGCAAGGTTCTTAAGCATGTACCCAATTTTATGTATGCACATAGTCTAATTGAGGATATGTGCTTAAAGCTAGGCACATACCTAAGCCTTGCTGAATCAGGAAACAAGCATTTCCCTAATATGATCAGGGTCTTGCCCAGAATCAGTTTGAGCTAGAGGTTCTTCCAGGAGCTGTTCTCCTCTACATATTGTGAAGGCTCTGATTTAATCTGTGGAAAATTACATACACAGTAATCTACAGAAGCATTCACCACCTCTCCAAGCAGTCTCCTGTAAGGATTAGGGGAAAAAAATGGAGGGGGGGGAAGGAGAAATGGTAGATCACCCGTGGGATGCTGCAGGTAGAAGCTAATGGGGAGGAGGAGCAATTTACCCACCACTGTTCTCTGGGTTCTTTTGGAATCAGTTTGTGTGTGGAAGGACTGCAAGACCAGGCCAGATGCATTCAGTGTTGGGAGAAAAACAAAAACAAAAAATATTCTCCTCAGTGACCGAAAGAACAAAAAATCCTTGTGAACTAGTATAACCAGGAACAACCTGAATTAATGGTACTAGTAAGTGGAAAATTAATGCACAATAAAACAGTCTTAGTGCTACCACAACCCCACATCTCAGTACAGATAACAGAAAAACAAAAATGGTTTCTTTCTCCAGTGAATTTTGGCCAACTGACATTTTTAAACATTTTCATTTTACTTACATGGAAAGGACAATATTCAAAGTATAACTTCTCTATTTAATACTTTTCTTGTGGTGTGTTAGAAAGGTTAATGTATTAAATTTGCATTTTTCTAGACAGATTATTTCTCTTTTTGCTTTTTTCTCTGTTCTGCTTCTTTAAATAGAAGTGGTATAAAATGACTCCTTCTTGAGAGGTTGTCCGAAAACCTAGTTTCCCCCTTCCCACCAATTTTCATGCTCTACAAGCTTTGCCATAATAAACCACTTTGCATGTATTGAAAATGAGTATTACATTAGATGAGGTCATTTAAGTGTATCCCATTTCACTTGGTGAAACTAAGCAGCTTTGCATTATAACTAAGTTGAGCTAATGAGAATATGCTTGAAGTGTGTGTTACCTGGAAGTGAAGTTAGCTAGTTATATTGTGCTGCAACTTATGAGTCTGCAAAATGATGGCAGGAATCCTGCTGTGAGGGAGATAGGAAAATTATTATAATCTGCATTCCTAAATTGAATGAGCATTTTGCTCAGCAGTAACCTCTTGACAGCAAATAGTCTGAAATTGTGTCCTGCTGTTTAAAATGCTGGTGTTTTTTTTTTAAACCAAGTGAAAATTTCCACATTTCTTTAAATTAAAGAACTTTAAAATCATATGGTTAAATTACTAAAACAGTGAAAGCTGCTTATCATCCCTTTTTAAGTGAAAACTGTTTGATGTCCACATTTTTTTGACAGTTAGGGACAAATGACTAGAATTTGTTTCAAGTATCAGGGGGTAGCCGTGTTAGTCTGTATCTACAAAAACTAGAATTTGTTTGAGGCACAAAGTGGGTGAAGTAAAAATCTTTTATTGGACCAACTTCTGTTGGTGAGAGAGACAAGTTATGGAACTTACACAGGGGTCTTTTTCAGAGACCTTGCTGTTCACCAATTCATGGTCTTTTTCTTTATTTATATGATCTTTTTAATACACTATTGTCTGAAGAAGAGCTCTATGTAAGCTCAAAAGCTTGTCTCTCTCTCACTAACAGAACTTGGTCCAATAAAAGATATTACCTCATCCACCTTACCTCTGTAATATTCTGGGATCTACACAGCTATAACAACACTACATAGAATTAGTTTGGGATTCCCCACTATGGTCTTCATTATTTAATAGGTGGTACATGTGAAGCTTATCATAAACTTCCTTGTTAAATTATTGCCTTGACATTGAAATAAGTTGAATGTTTGCAAGAGTGTTTTAGTCTGTATAAAGGGAAAATGTAATCTGAATAGCTACCCTGAAGTGGTTAGCAGTTATGATACAGCACACATCAGTAAACCCAAATATATATGGCAATAGTGTATTGAAAAGATCATGTAAATAAAGAAAAAGACCATGAACTGGCAAACAGAAAGAAAATGATCTTCACCAACAAAAAAGTGGAAAATAGTTTTAGCCATTCAGATCCTTTAGCTAAGAGAATAATGGGAGAGGGTATAAGTAAAAAAGCCTGAGGATTACTAAGCTTTGGAGAGAACTGAAATTGCCTAACAATTGTTTTCTGTTACTTTCTTCAAGTAATACGTGTGGTGGGGCAAACTGCAGTGCTTCCCACATTGGTGTGCAAAGGAAGGGGAGGCAAGCATAGAGATCATCTTCCTGCCCATCCTTTGTTCACGTGGGTACGGACCAAGGCAAATGCTTTGTAGGGTGAATAGGAAAGGGGATAGTTGTGTGGACAGTAGTGCTCGAATCCCTTAAAAAAAAAAAGAGATGTTTCTAGCCTTGGAGTGGCACCTCTCACAAACCTGCTGTTCACTGACATCACAGAAGGTTGTGTGCTACACCTTTTCACAGGAGAGGTAGTGGTTGGGTGCTGGGGATCCTGCTGGCCCCAACACTCTAGGGATTTTGCCTGTGTTTGCACCACGCACACTGTAGAATGCCTCAGACTGATGCCATTTGGCTTTTTTCCCTCTCCTCTTCTCTGCAGGTATTGAACAAAGAGAGACCATTTCACCATGCAAATACCTAATCAGATTAATCTGGTGGTTCCTGATATTGGGTCAAATCTTAAAGTCCTTACCCATTCTTACTTAGGGAAGATTCCCATTCACTTCAGTGAGATTTTTGTCTGAGAGAGGACACCAGGATTAAGCAAAAAATGAATAGTTGGAGAAATAGGAAAGACTGGAGGTTAGAAATACCAGGGCACCACATACTGCAGAATAGAGCTGGGCAAATACTACACAAAAAAAGTGTTCACAAACCTCTTGTTTGAATAGAAACTGCTATTTTACTTGGACGTTCTCCATAATCCTTTATTAGTTTTCTGCAAACATTCATATGAGTGTGATAGACTCTATGAAAAAAAATCTAAGGCTTAACAGACTGCTGCTCTGTCCTTCTGTCTCCAGAATGGACCCACAACAGACTCCAGAGTTTAGATTCTGGCCTCACAACCTGATATAAAGTTTGGGACAACTAGGGACAAGTCTCTATGACAAGGAACTTCATCTTTAGTCCCCTTTAGCATGAGAAAATTCTCATGGCAGACTACAATCATTTACAGGAATTCACATTGTTTTGCAAAACAATCTGTCAGTCAACAAGCTATGATAGTCATCATGAATATTTGTATCAAATAATCAGCTTTAAAGTTCTATATTAGAGCTTGCTGAATGTTAAATTTCAAACACCCCCGCCCCCTAAATTTTAACTACGGTATTTCTAAATGGTTGTTTTTATGACCAGTTATAGAACTAGGCAACATCAAATTTCAAAAATTTGACAAAATCTTAATTAAAACGGGTAGGGAGGGAAGAGGAGGACTTTTGCAAAATGTTGCAATCCTCTCCCTTCTCTTCCCCAAACTGATATTAATATTTATATACATACTTCATCCTGCTGCCATTGAACACAATAACAAAACTCTGACTTCATTAGAACATGACTGGAAGTATACTTTGAACTTGGCTGCATTTTTATATTTCTCCATTTATTTTTATATTTGGAATAGGTAATTAGTGCCAATGGGATGCACTCTCCTTTGACAAAGGATTGCTTGTTTTCTGTCTCCTATTTTCGGTGCATCTTTGTATACAGAGCATGGATATGCAGTATGCATGCAGTAGTCATAGACAAAGTAACAGACAGAGAGATTGATTACAAGGCTGTAATTCAGTTGAGGTAGCCTGGTGATATCATCTGCAATGAAAGGAAAGCTCAATCCATATAGTTTACAATGTCATCACAACGCTAAGTTTGAGCTGTATCTTTATTAATCAATATGCCTCCCCCTAACCATTGTAACAGCATATGGAGAAGAACAGATATTATTCACAAAATTATTTATTTAGGAAAACAGCCAGGGCAAATAGATTGTGGTCCATCGAGTATTTTTATCTGAAGTTGGAGAAAATAATTTTGCCGAAAATTCCTACAGAACTTTCGGCAAAAGAAGGAAAAAAATGATGGCAATCACAGACACAGTCAAGGTCAGAATCATCTACTCCTTCTCTCTGTTACATTCAGCAGTGTTTCCAATTCAGTGGAAAACTGCTGTGGAATTTAATTGTCCTTTATTTATGATATTATGACTTGTGCTGGGAGCACCATGAAAGATTTAAATAGCTCATTACTGTTTGGCCCTGCAAGGATGCATATGTACCTATTGCTACTGCAGGATCCCACAAATAGTCATTTTCATGCACACATGAAGAGCTAACTGGTTAGTGTTCATAAATGTAGATTTTTGCACATATACTTCAGACTATTACTTACAAATTAGATAGCAGCTGAACCATTGAATAGGTAGGAATGTATCTGTGGTGGTTTGCTCAAACCCTGCCAATACACCTTCATCCTGACCTACCTCAATTGTTCTCCAAGGGAAGAACTGGAAGCTCCCTTGTTTGGAATACCTAAAACTGGACTGGACAAGGCACTTGTATGGAGCAGTCCTGCACAGGCAGGGAGATGGAATACTTGACCAAATAGGACTTTTTTATTTCTATGATTCTCTGCAGCTGGGTTGGAAAAAAGCTAAATTGAATTGTTCTAAGCAACTGAGGGTCCTATTCAGAAAGGCACTTAAACACGTACTTAATTCCATCTGTAATCAGGATTGCATTTGAACATGAGTTAAAGTGCTGTCCAGAATAGGGATGATTTCCTGAATTGGGTGTTGATCATCTAGAATTCATGTATTGTACAAATATTTAATTAAATTCTGATTATCATCACAGAGCTTCCAGAGAAATGAATAAATGCAATTTATAATGAATTCAGTTTTTCTACCACATTTAACTGTTTTCTCTGTACTTTGGCTAGCTTATTATACAGATAACATACTTCCATTTGGGAGAAATGTGGCCAATTTTTCACTAAAGTGTGATATCTCACATTATCTAGATGGACCAAATTCATGAGCATGTGGAGTCCCATTTAATCTAATGAAGGAATACCTGCTTAACCTAGTGGTAAATTTGGTTCACTGTGTTTTGTGGCAACATAAATCTGGCTAGATTTTTCAATATTCTCAAATATTTACATGCTGAATATTAATCACCACTGTATATAACTAATATACTCTATATTAGTAATGGTTACATTAAATTTGGAAACTTCAGGCTTTTAGAGAGTTCACCAACCTTCGTGTCCTTATGCACATCCAGAGAATCCAATACATCTACCTTAGATCATGAACATTCAAAGAGGATTTAATTCATCTGTCTTCAATACCCAGAAGTCTTCAGTGCTTACTAATGAGACTAACCAAGTGATAAAGCGATTCCAGATATGCAGATGGGAAAATCAGACATCTCTGCTGCAATGGTATGCAACTTGTTGACTCTGAAAAACAGAGAAAAGCCGTTTGCAAAATTCTGAAAAGAAAGATTACTGTTCAAATCTCAGAACAAATACTTTACAACAGAGCCCACTCCATCACAGGGTTACTACTTAGAGCAACCTCATGCACCCTTTTAAAAAATCTCAGACGTTCTATTGAAACACAGAAAGCTAATATCCACAAAAGCAATTTAAGCACCTAGCTACCACTTCAGGTGCCTAAGTCCAAACTTTAGCTCCTCAGAAAACCCCTCAGCTGCCAGCTAACCTGGTATGTGCCTGCATTCCCTGGGCACCTAAGTTTCCAACTAATAAAATGCCCTAAAAATCTAAGCGTGGGCAGCACAAAGCCAATTAAGTCAAGCTGCTTAGTGCCTAACTCATGCTTAAGCTCTGGTAGCCTTCACAAACTAGGCTCCCTCAGATTCTCACCTGTGAAGCCCAGTCTGGCAGGCATTTTCAGAGGCCGCCTAAAAGCATGCCTACTGGATCAGGCCCTGCACTGAGATGGCAGCGCCCTCTTTTTCACAATAGGCCACTATTTAGAATACTCGCCTGGGATGTGAGGTGCTCAGGTTCAAATCCCTCCTCTGCCTAATGGGGAAATAGAACTTGAACCCAAGTCTCCCCCATGTCAGGGGCACGCCCTAGCCACTAGGCTATAAGGTATTCGGCGGGCAGGCTGTTCTCAGTCTCTGCTGTCGGAGCTGTTGCACTTTGTATGAAATACTTAAATAGTGACTGAGCCAGAGAGAGCGAGAATGACTCTACTACCTAGTGGTTAGAGCACTCACCTCGGGGGTAGGAAAGAGGTGAACTGGGTTCCGGTCCCTGATCCATGTAATATTTCAGTACTTTACACAAAGTAGAACAGCTCTAACAGAAGAGATTGAGAGAGCTCCCCTCCCCTTTCCAATACCACATAGCCCAGCAGCTAGAACACTATCCTGGGATACAGGAGGCTTGTGTACAAGTCCCTGCTCCAAACCAGGCAGAGCTGGGGATCTAAACCCAGGTCTCACACATCCCAGTTGAATGTTCTAACCACTGGGCTATAGGGTACAGTGGGGGAGGAGGGGAAGTTCCACTTTTTTTTTGTTTGGCTTAGGCACCCAGCTCCAGGAGAGGGCTCATGACTCTAGATCCAATGCGGAGGGAGGCACCTCCTTCTGACTATGCCTGTATGTGTTACCTTCCGCACCGAACACTAGCCAGAAAGAGTGATTTTTAGCCATTTTATAACTCCTAGAAAAGAACCCAGCATTTACAATGGGATTACCATGTCAGATGCTTATCTAGAGTAAAGGCTGATAAAACATACAGGGGGTTGTTTGACTATCCTTGTCTTTTTCTGTTCTCTCCTCAATAAATCATGCATATTTATAAATGTAGCCAGGCATCCATATCCAAGAACTGTAACACAGATGTGAATATGAATATGGCATCTAATTGCACCCCCTATATTACCATTCCTAGCTTTGGGCATGAACACAGCCACTTTCTTTCAAAGCAAATCAAGCCCCATGTGCTCTGGAATACAGCAAAGCCCTCAAAAACCATCAATGCCAACGTCAGCTGCCAAAACAATAAGCTTGTCAGGGAAGAACAAGTTCTGAGTTCAGAACGAAAGTTAAATTGAAAGGCATTGCTTCAGCAACATCAAGAAGTGTCTGTCTGCTAGAGTTCCTTTCATCCTTCTGGTCAGAGGAATCTAACAGCACCCAAGAAATACCACTGGCTTTTATCACTACAAACATAAAATAGTAGACTAGTCAATTTTATGTAAACTGTCCTCGGTACAACACAGACATCCCTGAATCTGATACTGGAAAAATACAGATTAGAACTCATGAAGCAATGGACAACAGAACACCACTCGGTGAGCTATTCTCCATCTTTTATTTGCAATGAAAAGTGTTTATTAAAATCCTTTTATCTATACTACATAAATCACTTACACATGGATCTATAATAGTTTATTTCTGGCTGTTATGCTATTGTTTATTTGATATATGGCTTACAATATTGAATGTCTTTTTTCATCAGAAACATTTATTTATTAATAATTCAGCAGATAAATGGTTTTAGATTGAGCATTTTAAAAATGTAGGCAAATCAATGAAAACGGACACAAGGCCATATATTATATGGATATAATAATTGAATCTCATGCATTAGACTGTTAATGTCCCAAAAGCTCTGTTTTTTCCACACTGTAAATGTTTCAGAATAAACATCTAATAAAACCCATTTCATTTATTGCTTTGTGGAGACTTATTGCTTCTGTGAAAACTTGTTATTGAACACTAATGGAAGTTAATACACATGTTCACATCTAGAAATGGGCTAGAAGAAAAGAGGTAAATTCATCTCAGACTAATGAAGATTACCCCAGAAATAATGAGGGGCTGATTCACATTGACTTTAACAATAGTTATACACAGACTACAGGTAAAGAGCGCAGGATCAGACCCAAAACAGCATTTGAACTAGCATACATGTAGGGTCCTAGCAAATTCACGGCCGTGAAAAACGCATCACAGACCATGAAATCTGATCTCCCCCATAAAATCTGGCTATTTAGGGGAGACCAGATTTCACAGAGTTGGGCAGCCGGAGAGTGCCAGCTGCTGTCCGGGATCCCACCTCTGAAGGCAGGGTCACTGCCAGCAGCAGTGCAGAAGTGAGGGTGACATGGTATGGTATTGCCACCTTTACTTCTGTGCTACTGCTGGCGATGGTGCTGCCTTCAGAGCTGGGTGCCCAGCCAGCAGCCGCCGCTCTCCAGCCGCCCAGCTCTGAAGGCAGCAGCACAGAAGTAAGGGTGGAAGTACTGTGAACCCACTACAATAGCCTTGCGACCTCCCATCCACAATCCCATTTTGGGTCATGACCCCCCCCAGTTACAATACCATGAAATTTCAGATTTAAGTATCTAAAACCATTAAATTTATTATTTTAAAAATCCTATGACCCTGAAATTGACCAAAATGGACCATGAATTTGGTAGGGCCCTACACATATGTGAGACAAGGGAATGATAAGAGAACTGGATGTGCTAAACCTTAGGATGTGGCCCTAAGGGTCTTATCTCATCATGTACAAGGTATATGTTGAGAGACAAAAAAGGACAAGGTTCTATGTAAACTGGTAGCAAAGAATACAAAAGATTGTGCTGTTATTCTTTCATCACGAAGATGGAGAAGGGAATGGAAAGCGCTGGACGAAGGGTATTCACATCTGATGTGATATGTAGGAAAACTGGACATGCAGTTCTGAAATAGTGGGCCCCCATAAGGAGATTAAAAGAAGTATAGAGTGAGTAATTTAAAGCTTTCCAAGACAACAATAAGGGGATCCGTCCCCGCTTCATATATGAGAATAATGGTGCTGTGGGGTTACTATGACTTCAAGGACTCTATTTGGAGGATGAACCAGTTTCCTACTAAATATATTGAAACTAATCAATATTAATATCATACTAACTATATGCATCTATGCAGACTTTCCTATTAGTTGTGTGCTGTTCAGTTCTGAAAGAAGTGCTGATGTACTGTGCCCACGATAGATTCTTCTCATAAGTGACAGAGTGAATAGAATTTCTGTTCCTGTTTGTGATAGTTATCATCAAGATGAAATTTAGAGACATACTATCATGACAATATATTACACCAATAAAAGCCACAATTCAGCATCTGAAAGGTATGCAGAAGCATATCAATATATGTAAGTAAAAATAAACAATGTATTTGTAACAATCAAAATGAGTACCTATTATATGAAAAAAATAAGTCTCCTGTTAATGAAGAATGTATATTTAATTTATTTTTAAATTCAAGAAATACAAAAGATATGAATGACCAACCACATGGATTCCACTCTTGCACCCCAGGTGCATGATTTTGGACAGCAGTGTCCTTTGGTATCACACCTGTGCCCTAGATACCCTCACACACAACCTAACCAAGGGACATGAAAGGTAGAGCGGCCCCAACCATCCCTCAGTTCTTTTTTACAGCAGTGAGATGGAACCTGCCACTCCACAGGGTATTAGCATTAATGTTACTTTGTTACTAGGTAGCTTTCCTAGGCAACACCCACTCCTGGGGACAGGGTCACTGGAATAAGGGAGCAAAGTGAGGGTGACATGGTATAAAATTTCCAAGTGCAAAGCTTAGTAGTGGCAGTAGTTACCTGAACCCAGGGCATAGGAAGCCTGGGTTGTGCTGAAGCTGTTCTGCTGAAGTTCATGACAGCTCTCAAAACAGAAAAATCTCTATTAGATTGATTTACAAAGCTGACAGGACAAAACCATTCAAGAGTACACCTGGGCTATTCATGACCTTTGCAGAGAGGGTTAAGCTTCAGGCAGTAGCCTCAGAGATTATCAGAATTGGTCTCCCACTGCATAAGAACATGTTACCAGCCAGCCAGGTTAGACCAACTAGCCACATTAGAGCTCATCACAGTAGCACATAGGCAGCCTCCGCTGCCGGTTTGAAGAATGTCCCTATTTCTGAAATTTGTAGGGCAGCCATGTAGAGCTCAGTATACACATTTATACAATCATTGCTAGAGGCTTCCAGATGGAATGTCCATTTTGGTTGGGCTGTCCTGCTGTCATTGTTTAAGTAGGACTCCTAGTACCCATCTCCAAGGAAACAGACATTATTTGCTCATTTCCAAAACTGGAGTCCATATGGACAATCACTCAAAGAAGAAAGAATGGCTACTTACCCTACAGGAAGTGTGATTCTTTGAGCTGTTCACATGAATTCCACAACTCACCCTTGTTCTCTGCTACAACAGAGTTCTCTGGGATTCAGTATAGGCCAAAGAATTGAGGGATGATAGGGCTCACTCACCTTTTATGTCCTTGGATGGGGAGGTGCAAGGACATCTATGGGGCCACGTCTTCGCCCTACACACTGCTGGCCAAAGAAAGATCTTGTGCACATAGGGCCACATGTACACCAAGAGTGGAATCTATGTGGATAACACAT